CTTGTGATGTTCTTGAGATATTTTTTGTAACTGAGATGCTGCATGTTTTTGACAGGCGCCACTCAAAGGGGATATCCTGTTCTTGCCACCTGTAGCTCTTGCCACGTGTTTTGTTCTTGCCACCTGGTGTTCTTGTCAGTTCTTGCGCTTGAGATGCGTCTTGCCGATCATGTTCTTGCCTCAGGTCAGGGGTCATCAGACCAGATGTTTACCTTTTTCAACCTGAGCTCCGCTGCTGATTCAGTGGCGATCCAGCTTGCACTTCGCGGCAAGACCATTACAGGTCTTACGAAGAGGGCTTTGAAAGTCAACATTGCCGGTCCAGCACCTCCACGCTACGATCCTGCGACCAAACATGGAAGCCGAGCAAAGTGGCAAATATGTGGTACAACCTGCGGTACCGACACCCACATCCTCCGTGACATCGAGACCAAAGCCGAGCGTTGCACCGAGATTCATGGCGAAGCCATCCTCAGTGGTTGCTCCTCCAGCTGTGAAAGCTGTTCCGAAGGCGGCTTCGGTGGCTTCGATGAGTCGGTGGGGAGAGCTTGGCCCAATGCCTCCCACTGAGTGGATCCGGCCGCGAGAGGCCATGCAGGGCGCTGTCTCAGGTGGTGAGACAGAGTATGCTGGTTCAGATGGCTCTCCGCATGAGCGTGGTGAGGAGGAGTCATCGCCAGATCATCCAAGCTGTGGATGTGCATCTTGATCTGTTTTTGATCTGTAGTTTAATCATGCACTTCTCTTGCATTTTTGCTTATTGCAATATGTTCTTGATAATACGGTTGATGAACTGTTCTTGATGTGTTCTTGAGTTCTTGACAATATATGTGATTCATTGCACTTTTTTCAGACAGTTCTTGCGGGTTCTTGTGCTTTGTGTTCTTGTGAGTTCTTGTGTTTGTTCTTGCATTGTCAACCTAAGGATTGAAGCGAGCATTGATGGAGGTCTTTTTGATTTTCTTGAATGTAGTTCATATGTGGACCCTCTCTAGTCAGGGAATACCAATAACAGCCCGGATGACCGGCCGTGGACTGTTTTTGCTACATCAGAAAAGTTGATGTTGGCACGTTGTCCATGGATCAGCATAAGTACGATATGATGAGATGAGCGCGTGAAAAGAGATGCATC